TTTTAGCAGTTCATCCAACATTGAATTTGTTTGCTGCTGGTCATGACAATGGAATGATTGTCTTCAAATTAGAACGTGAACGACCAGTCTATGCTGTTGTTGGAAATCTTGTGTATTATGTCAAAGAAAAGTATTTACGTCGATTAGAAATTACCACATCAAAAGATGTGCCATTGATGCAACTACGAAGGTAAGCTTTTTTTCTTGATTAAACTGTTGAGAAAGTTGTATTTGAAGTGGTCCACGTGCACCATACTATTCGATGTCATACAACCCAGCTGAAAATGCTATTATTTTGACAACACGTGTACCATCTCAACCGGATACATCGATTTATGATCTTTATACAATTCCAAAAGACGCAGGAGAATCAAGTAGTTCAACACAAGCTCCAGATGGTAATTGTTTTCTTCTTCTTCTTCTTATATGTGTCTTAAGGTCAGATGAAAGTGAATACTGTGTTCATCAATTTTATCAACTTAACATTTGATCAAATGTTACAATGTATTTTTTTTTGTTTTATTATAGCTCCTGAAGGTCGTCGTTCATCTGGTTTGAATGCAGTTTGGGTTGCACGAAATCGATTTGCTGTACTTGATAAGAATCACGTAATTCTGATCAAAAACAATAAAAATGAAATTACCAAGAAAATTCAATTGAACAATTGTGATGAAATCTTCTATGCTGGCACTGGTCTTTTATTAATCCGTGAAAATGATCATATTAGTTTATACGATGCACAACAAAAACGTTCATTAGCCAGTGTTCGAGTTGGCAAAGCTAAATACGCGATTTGGTCAAACGATATGAATTATTTATCATTGTTAGCCAAACATCAATTAGTCATTTGTAATCGTAAACTTGAACAATTATGTATCATTCAAGAAAATGTTCCTGTGAAATCAGGTGCTTGGGACGATTCAGGTGTTTTTATTTATACAACATCAAATCACATCAAATATGCACTTATCAATGGAGATCATGGAATTATTCGTACACTTGATTTACCTATCTATATCACAAAAATCAAAGGAAACA